AAACACCAAATCTGCCTGGTCTTCCCTCCTGCTCGATTAATCATTGCTCCATGAGCGACTGTCACCACATTCTTCAAAACACTGACCTTCTCCTTTTTTCCTTGACAGCTCCCAAGGGTCCATTGAACAATTTATGGGCCTGTCTTTGGGTTGCTCCTGTCACTGTTCTCTATTGCAGTTCAGGCTAAAACAGACTGGCAGGGCTCTAACCCCCCTGCAGTGGCTGGTGGAGTTGGTGAAGAAATGCACTATTCAAAAACATACCCAAGAGGAACAGTCTGATTATCTTTTTCCTACTCTCTCTTCATAACCACCTCCTAAAAATAACTAAGATCCTATATGAAGCTGTTTTTTGAAAATGGACAAATTCAGAGGCAGCAGTGGTCGGACTACACTCTGTGCTGCTCCTCGCTGGCAGCTTGGAGGAGGAGGTTAATCTCTGAACACATTTGGCTTGACTCATTTGAGCCAGATGAGTTTATCAGTACCCGAGCGCAAACAAGGTAATTGCGGTATAAAATCTGAATCCATGCGACAATTATCGAGCTGTCGGCTCGTTATTGGGCTGCACATTTAGTGTGGTGCGGCTGTTAAAAACCCAAGTAAGTCACATAAGTTGGCGGTTAAGAGGTTAAGTAGGTATATATCCAACAAACAACATAGTGGAATAAAACTCTGAATGACACATTTTTATGGTTGAAAGAATCAAGCCTGCTGGGCGCACAGACTTAAGCAGCCGATCTACGGTCTCTGCTGCACACACGAGCAGGGCTGACATCGAGCAGGCACAGAAATGTTTGGGATTTCACATGAACATCCAAAGAAATCAAGAGAAATTCACACTCATCAAAGAGAAGAAATAAATCGGAGTTAGGATTTCTTTTTTATTCACTGTACACACTATGTGATCAATTGCACTAATCAGAAAGAAATCGTTTTCTTCCATTTAATACTACCCACATCTTCAAATTCAATTGTGTGTGTGTGTGTGTGTGTGTGCCATAAACAACAATGTGTGTCATTTATACTATCTGATGTTTTGGAATGTGTAAGACTGAATAATCTCTATTTTATTGTAATCCTGGATTTCTATTAGAATTTCTATTAGAATGATGCACTTCAGCTTTTCCAGGTGGCTTTGATGTATCTATCAACCTACACCCTGACTGAAAACTTTAAGTCAAAATCAAAAGTAAGCTTAACAAAAGGAAAACGGATGATGTCTTTTGGGAATGGAGAGCTTGCCTGTGCTTTCAGAGTACTCAGAAAGTTGTTTGCTCTTATGAAAGCTGGGACCACTACTATGTGTTTTCTGGAGTCCTCATTGGAAAAACTTCTCATTCATTCTCAATCTGTCCTTTTGATTTATGATAATATTACTGAAAACAAAGATAATTAATATAACGTCTGCATGTGTTATAACATCATATATTTCCTGGGAAAAACAGACCAGGTGGTCTTGTGTTAAAAAAGTCTTTCTACACACAATCACTCACACAGTATGTTCACTTGAGATATTTCACGATAAGGAATGGCAGGAGTTGTATATGAGCTGGCCTCAGTGACACCTGAACCTCTCAGGAAATCGTTTTGCAGCCTGACTGGAGCTTTAAACATGAAACGCTCAAAACAACAACAGCATGAATCATTGACTACGCAGGAACAGATGCAATGACAGAATTGCAGTTTCTCTGCCAGCATCATTATTGAGACAGGAATCCGTCCATCTTTTTGCAGAAGAGGTTGGAAAAACAATGAAATTCATTGCATAGTTTCACATTGATATTTTTAATTTTCATTTTATGGTGCTGGGACCAGGGGACTGCTGTATTGCTCAGAAACCTGGTTTAGAAACAATCTTGAATGTGATCAAGATAAGGGATGGCATTATGGATTTTAATAGGACCAGGACTGAGATAAACACTGTTTTCATTTCCTAAAACTACATATATAGATATGTAGTTGCCTGGTCAACCAACCGAATGCAACAAAGATGCTGTCTGCAAGAAGAGACAGAGCATCCTCTGTCTCACTCTGCTTCTGAGGAAAGTCTGCTCCTCCAGTGTGTGCAGCGAGATGTTGTCTCACAACTCTGTTGGAGTGGCACCATCACTGGCAGTGGCTCACAACTGAGCAGTGAAAACAGATTGTGAAAAGGGTGTTCAGCTGCTAAACATAGCAGACAGCACACCCTCAACACAACGTGATGATTAACCAGAGCTCTTAAACCAAAGTCTGGAAACATTATACTTCACTTACACTCATAAATCAGATTTTATTCATTGTCATTAAACTGTCACTTTTACTTCCATAGAGGCTGTCAAACTGTCAAATGTAAAAAAAAAAAAAATAAAAGAGGAATGATACACCCTCAGAATCACAGAAATACCACCTTAAATGAAAAAGTAACTGAATGATGGAAGACGGGATTTGTGTGTGTGATTGACTGACGACCTATCCAGGGTCTCTTACCCCCGCGGCCTCCTGAGTGGAAGAAGCAGGCGTGGAGAAAAGATGAGTGGGATTTGTTTAGTTTTTCTCGGGCTGAGTGCATCAATAGAGTTGGGGTCAGCAGGTGTAGATGCTTCGAAATGTGGGTTTTCGAAATGCTCCGGCCGTATAGCTACAGCTACGCACCCAGCCGGATGGGGTGTGGAGGCAAGGGTTTGGGTTGGTAGCGGACTCATTTTCCAGTCATCAGGCACAAAACACCTACCAGTGTTTCCATGGCAACAGGAAGCAATCGGCGCTGGCGCTGTATTCCTGGTGGACCCCATTGCTTTCTGCTCAACCGCAATTGATTTTTCAAATTGAGCGTGCAGGTTTCTGGTCATGTCTGTTTGCTCACCACAAGTTTGCGGATGTTTGCAGAGTTTTGCAGAGAGCAAATGGACGGGGAGATAAAGGCGTAGAGAGAGATGCTTTATGGCTTTGAGGTTGTCATTACTCAGACTAAGAGTGGGAAAAAAAGAACCCTCTAAATCACTGCTGTCTCCACTTAATCTGGCCAATCTCAATCAAAATTGCAATTGAGAGCTCAAGACAACAAGTGGTCATCCATTCATCTTGTGCCATCACCCATATGCAAGTTCATGACAAGAGAAGAAGGCATGTAGAAACAGAAAAAAAGACAGATGTACGTAAATAACCCTAATGGCTCTCTTTTTAGTCCTTTATCCTCCTCATAAATCGCTAATGGTTTCAGCATTTCTAAACATTTCTTGGAAGCACATGCAGAGTTGCTCAGATGTAAGTAGGAACATCTGGAAACATTCAGACTATAATTGATTGAAACTATATGGACTGTCAGGCAGCTAGGCTTTCAGTAGCGATGTCACCATCTGTGTTTATTTGTATTTTGTTTTTTAAGTTTATTGTTTTAGCTTTGTTCTTTTCATTAATCTCTTTTGTATTCTATCAACCTCCGAACACTCTTGGGTATTTTTGGTCTTTTGGGATTCTGGTCTTATCACAATTCAAGGTCTTTTGATCTATTTCCCCTACTTTTTTCTCTGGTTCAGTTAGCTCTTAGTCCTTTGGTTCGTTGGTATAATCATGGGTTTAGATCTAGTCATTATTCAGGTTTCTCCTGGCAGCTTTCCACACTCACCTGAGGTCAGTCACTCACAGGTGAACTGGCTTTTCTCATCAGTCCTGCCTGTATTTGAACTCCTTGTGAGATCCTTGCTGCATTTCTTGTGATCGCTGCTCATTTGGCTATTCAGCATTTTGTGTTTATTGATGAGCTACATTTCTGTTTCATAATTTTTCATTGCAGATTAGCACTTCATTTGTTTTCTCCAGACTTCAATGGCTCATTTGAACACTTTGGATGGGCTTCCACGGCCCAAGGGCAAGAGTTGCTGGTGAGCTTTTTGGTAAAGCTGCATGCATGTATCCAATTCCCTTATCCTCATTTGGGTATTCTTAAAACCATACACCTTAGTATTTGTGACAAATGAGTATGATTAAATAAGCAAAGCAGTTTAGAACATGCAGGGAACGCAATTCATCCACATCACACTTATGTTGATTGGAGGAACATTTTACTGGATGAATTCAGCACAGCAAACCCTCCTCTGGCTGCTCTTCAACCAGACCACAGGGTAATTAGTGAGACACATGAAAGTGAGCCCTCTCTCCTCTCTTTTCACTTTCTCATTGATCAGCATCAATCTCTCCACCCTCAGCCCCTCTACTCCAGCTGCACTGGTCTGGCTCGTTGTTTGACAGGGGTTCGATTAACCATTAGTCACCTGCACATTAAAATGAATTGTTTTCAAATGTAGTTGTGCAATGACGCTTAAAACGTATCACAATTTGGATGAAAGTCGTCTTGTGTGTAATATAGAAAAGCAATTAAACTGAGAGGACATGGAAATCTGATTAAGTTCAATAACATATTAGCAATGTGCCGACTCCTCGTTTTAATACAAGCTGCAGCTATTTAGGAAATCTTCTCTGATTTGTATCAATGGAGGACACCGGAACCACAGGCTGCAGCATCTGACAGGCTCTATGGTGCATTTTCGCTGAGGACTCACATGGTAGTACTGTGCACATCTTGTCAGCCCGATGTGATTTCCCAGTTTAGTTATGGCATTGTACATCAAAGTGGCACATGAGATGGAGAAATACGAGATTTTGATGTTAGAAAAAAAAAGCAGAAGAAGACGGAAAAGAAAAGATCTGTGAGTGTAGTATTTGTGTTTCAGCTTTTTTTTTTAGTCCCTTATCTCTTCATTCTCCTCCACTTCTGCGCTCTGGAGCAATGCGTGAGGGCTTTTACGCACGAACGGCAGCTGCGCTCACAGCAGCGCGCCTAAAGGGCTGACCCTCACCAACGCGCACGTTCGTGGCTGACACACGGACCACGGCAACAGTCTTCAAGAGTTGATGCAACACACACAAAAATAAGCAGCACGTGAGAACCAAAGCCCTAAAGTCCCTAAAGGGACTTACGCACACTCCGAAAGACTTGCTTTCAGTTTTTTTTTTACCTGACGATGATGTACATGATCAGCACGTTTCCCACCATCCCCACCAGGCACACGATGGAGTAGAGGGCGGTGATGACGATGGCTATGATGACCGGGTTGGCGTCGTCGTCCAGGCTGCCGGTCAGCCCGCGGTCGTGGCTGCATCGCGCCTCGGCGAAGGTGGCGTTGTCGGTGAAGTTCCGGCAGAAGCTGCCGTTGGGGAACAGGGGCAGCTGGCCCCGGGGGTCCGCTTCCGAGCTGTTGCCGGCGCTCTCCATGGTTCCTCGCCCGGTCTGTGAGCCTCTCGCACCCTAACTCGGGACGGTCTGCTGCGCGTGTCTGCCGTTCGGCTCGGAGTTGGTCTGCAGACAGACGGTGACGCTGAAAGCTGGCGTGCTGTCGGGTTCTGGTTCTAAGTTCAGGACGAGTCTCGTGTCGAACAGGGAGCCCGCGTGGGACAGTGAGCAGTGTGAATATAATCGTTTAATTTGCTCCCTTCCTTTCTCTCTTCCTCAGCAAAGTCCTCCCTCCCCACTTTCTTCCTCCTCCCTTCCCATTCCTCATTTCTCCACTTACAGGAGGCTGCTTTTGTTGGTGTCCTTGTATTCTAGTTGAATTCCTTTCCATCTTCCTTACATCATTTTGGCCATGCTCTTTTAAGATGTCATGCCTTAAGGTTCCTTTTTTGGTTTGGGCCTCATTTTCTTTATTTTCACCCATCACTCTGGAACTCACAAACCTTTTCACAACCCTCTTTTTCTTACTCATCTTGTAACTTTTGTCACTTTTCCTTCCATCCCACCTCCCTTTGGTTTCACACAAATAAATGCATACCAATACAAGACAACATTTGTATGCATTCCCAAATGCAAGATTAGTACGCCACAGCCTCTTATTAGAATCAGTGACATCACCAGTTTTAATGAACCTGTTGGGGTGAAAATCCCCCTGACAGGCATATGAGCAATAGAGGAGTCCAGAGATTATTTGCCAAGTCATTTGTGAGGTACACTAATGAGCCTTGTCACATCTAATTTCTGATTTCTACATTGTTTCCTTATGAGTGGAGCCAAGCGGGGGAATGTAGCACGGTGTAATCCAATAGGGATTGATTTTAATCACGATAATGTCCCTGCATGTCCCATTACAGTTGCAGAGTGGCTCAAAATTGGCAAAAGAGCATTTCCTAAACGTGCTGGACACAAACGTCCCTACATGAACAGAGCTCGTGCTCCAAGTTAATGGCGTAAATTGGTTTTTAGTTTTTTATCTGATTAGCAAAACTTACATGAAGATGGCAGGTATCTGTCTTCTGATCAAGTCGTAGAAAAACACTTTCTAGTTTTCCTTTTTTTTTTTGCTTTGCTGCTCTCATATTCTTACATACAAATAATACCTACTCTACTCCACTCTTAGACTAAAATGACTGTGATAGATAAAAAAAGAAGGAATGTTTAAACCATAAATGGTTGATTTCAGGTATGCTATTGTACATGAAAGGAGAAACATCTTGGAGCTGTGATAAGTGTGAAATGCTTTGGGTCTTAGTGAACTAGGAAGCTAAATTATTAGCATCTTACTAAGACTCCTCAGTATCACTAAGATGGCTTTGTTTTACCAGGAGAGATCACCATGGTAACTCCAAAGCAGTGTATGTACAGAGTTGCAGATTACAGTATGTACTGTCTGAAAGAGGGGCATTTTATTCATTCTTGTCTTAATTATGTTCCAAACTGTAAGATTGTATGGAAGTTGAAGTCTGACCTTGTGACAAAATTGAAAGCACATGAAGAAAACTGGGTTGCCAGACAAAAGACAGGAAGTCTGTTTAGTCTTAAAAGTCCCGTAACCCTCAAAGTGGGTTACATGACTGACGCTTTTAGACGTTGAGTACATGTTAATTGTCTGCAATCAAATTTTGGTTTAATACAATTTATTTTTCTATTCTAATTTAAAACATCGCTGTTGAGCAGAACTCTGTGTAAAAATAACAATTTCCAATTCTGAGTCTGAGCTGGAGGAATACGTCAATTATTGAAATATGAATTTGCAGCGCAGTAAAACATAGGTAGTCAAATTATCAGGGCTATTGGTAGGCAATGCAAAATGGGGTGTCAATATTCATATTTTTTTCTCCCCTTTTGCCCTTGAGCCCACATTAGTGCAAATGTACATAGCAGAGATAAATCCCTCTATGAAATCCCTTTTTGATTTAGTTTATAATTTGTTATGGCTAAGTGTATCGGCTAAGTGCACTTTTATCAGCTTAAATGGACAAACAAGAGCTCATGCATGAATCATAATTTTCTAGTGGCTTTGATTTTCTTTTTTTTTCTTAATTATAGGAACTGTGTAGGGCTGATTTTGTATAATTTTTCCACCCTCATGCATTCATTCAACACTTTTTTCTTATGCATGATGTTAAATTATGTGTAAAAGAGCTTAAAATGAAAAGCTCGGGGCCACTGCTGAAGTGGTTGTTATTTGAGAGGAGATTTAGATTCTGTCAAGCCAGTGAATTAAAAGGAAAGCCTTTGTCCATGCTTAAGATCTTGAAACCTGATTGTGTTAGGTCCACACATTAGATGATGAGATAGATTTTAAGAATAAAAACCTATATTATGACTTACACTTAATTATTAAGCTGTCACTGCCCACAGATTTGTTACAATTTCGTAATCTACATGCTTGGATTGTGACTACATTTTGGACAATCAGTTACATCTGTTAGGGGTCTGAACACATTAATCTGATTTTCAAAAAGGTGAAGTGTCATTTGCCTAGATTGTTTTTTATGGGGAAAATATTCTGACTGCAACCACCTCAGCTGAGTCAGAACACAATAAATTAACAGTGTGTTGTTATTTTGTGCAGTTTTTATTTTTATCACCACTTTTACAAGCAGCTTCCTTGAAGAGTAGTCATATTTTTCCTGTCGCTATTTCCTCTGCAATACTTCCAACACGTTTAAACAAATCAAACACATGTTCTCATTTCTTCCCCACAGGAAGTCCCCGGCTTTGGCCAGAGCACAATCTTTGTCTTTTTGTGGTATAAATATTGTCAAACAAAGCAAGATTTGCAAAATAAGCAGCCAGGGGTTATAAATGTTACCACCACTTGCCGTCATTGTCCTGCTTCCAGAAATTCAGCAGTACCCCATCCTTACTTTTTTCAGAGTGTGCTCACTTTTTTTCAAATTGGTTTAGACTATAAACTCTCATTTAGCACCATTCATTTGTAATCACTTGAATTTAGTTAATGTTGTTCAGGAGCAATTATGTTGATTTGTCTGAAGTTTAATTATGTCTTCTTCAGCTTTCTGTATTTATTTTTTTTTACCTATTAAAGGGTTTGTAGTGCAGTTTTCTTTGTCAGATTAAGGGCTATTTGGAAACGGAGTGTGCATCTTGAGCAAACAGGAAAATGAGTGACCCTGAGTGATGGTTAAAGCGTGACTGGGCTTGGCTTTAATCAAACTTATTCTTAAAGCATTTTGGGATAGAAGTTTTTCAGCTGACCTGAACAACATAAGATTACCGCAACATAATGATGCTGCTCTGTTTATTCCTTCTTCACAAGTACATCTATTTAGTCTCACTTGGAACTGGAGTCAACCACAGCTGCAAATGATACAGTATTTTTAGTAAAGCGGTAACTTTCAAAACTCTTTTTATCAAAGTCTCAAGATTGGTACTCAATATAAAAATTCAATATCATCAGTTGGTGAGTTGTATCCTTTGAATGAACATAACCAGCCCTGCTGTTGGCTGCAAATCCCCTTCTGCCAGTCTGTCCAATTAGTTTCTCTCCTCTGCTCAGCAGTGAACAATCCAGCAATCAATTCTTGGCTGAGCTTTTAGCTTTTTTTCTTTTTTTTTTACTGAACTTCTGCCGCAAAAGAGGCATCCTTCCACACTGCACACCCAGCTGTGGCTCTCCTGTGTTTCAAATTCTGCTTAAGTCTCAAAGATCGTGTAGAAACAATATCCAAACCAGATGTGCCAAGATATTCTCCCTTTGTGAAACCCTAATAAAGAGTTGGTCTTCGAAGTTGGACACAGTTGGATGTCAACATTTTACAGAAGCCCTTTCATATTGTTAATGTTTAAAGCCTGATTAATAAATGGTTCTGTCTGTAGTGTCTTAGGGAAACACTCACACAAAATCAAGTGTATTTATGCTTATGCCTCCAATATGATTGAACTTTTACAAAACAAAGTGAGATCGAGACTAAACACAACAATTGGTCTTCAAGAACTTTTGTTTTGATTATTCTTTATATATTCTAAAATCTTCAATTTGTTTTCAGTGGCTGTTCATTACAGGGATAGTACTGGCACCATGCATCTACGGCCTGTTTAAAATTTCTGAATCTTTTAATTGGGGATGTATGAAACAGCTGTTGAGGCAACCAGATGCCAGATGGTGATGAGAAACCAAGAGAGGTTTTTAGCCAAGGGGATCTATAAGAATAAAACTGGAGGAACAGGCTTCACTTTTACCTGAATGCTGCTTCAAAATAGTCGTCCATTTCTCCGAACACCCATTTATCCAGAATTGTCTGGTGTTCTCTCTTTCAGCAAATCCACATTTGCCGGAACCTGAACTTTTTGGAGACACTTAAGTGCTCTTTGCTATTTCATCCATTCTATATGCCCTCTGCTGCTCATCCTTTTATATCAGACTCTTTGAAAGGGTTATGGGGTGAGGTGCGTTATGTTTCCATTCCTCTCACAGGAACACAGACAGACTCCTGTGAGCAAACGTCTCTCATCGTGCATTTGGAGGACGTCCAGCCTGACCGGACCGTAAAGCAGAGCCGGAAACTTTCTGCTGCTCTCAGTAAACAGGACGGAAACAATCGTTACACTTCTGTGACGACAAATCCAAACGTACACTGTTGATGTAAAAAGATGTGCAAAGGCTGTCATTTCTTTTTAACACGTTAAGCTGACAATGCTTTTGCTGAATGTTTCCAAAGGGTTTGTCACAATTTCTCCCCAACAATAGTTCAGTTTACTCTGACCTTCATCTATTGATATCAAAATGATATTTTTCTTTTCTTATTATTCAGTTTTTGGTTCACTTTCAGCCATTCAGAAATATGGTCCCACAACTTAAGTAAAGGACCAGGACATGCATGCAAACCAGGCCTCCATCAAACGTTTGAGGGATCGCACTATCCTCAAAAGAAACTCTTCACAAAGAAAGCCTCTGGGTACTCTCAGAGGTGATAACAAATCTAGCATCCTAATTCAGTTATTCAAACATACTG